TCTGGAGACTCAGAAGTGACCTTGGGGAACAGCATTGCAGGCAGAGGAAACAGCTCATGCGAAGGCCCAGTGGTTCTCAACCTTGGCTGCACATTAAAATCACCTGGGAATCTTTTTAAAATCCTGATTTCTGGGCCTCATCCTCCGGAAATTCTGTTTCTTTGTTACTAATGTCGTGGCCCCACCCCATAACAAAGAAACAGAATTTCCGGAGGATGAGGCCCAGAAGTCAGGATTTTAAAAAGATTCCCAGGTGATTCTAATGTGCAGCCAAGGTTGAGAACCACTGGCCCAGAGGAAGAAAGAGCCTGACAAACTAAGAGGCATCCACACAAGACAACTGGGCTGCACGTGAAACAGCATTTTACCTTCGTGACTGACGTGACTGAAGAGCAGCTGGCATCATGCAAACCAAATCCCCTTCCTGATGTGGAGGTTGCATCTGCTTTACATGAGGCAGAGTCACAGTGCGAGGAAATGCCTGCATCACTCTCAGACGTCCATCCTCTTCTGCCCTTGGACCTTGGAGTGTCTGGTTCTCAGGACTTAAAACTGGGACTGAATTATGACACTGGCCTTCTTGGTTCTGCAGCCTGCAGATAGACGGTGGCATATGATCGCATGAGCCAATTTCCATAATAAATCTCCTCCCATATATCTCCCTACAGCCCATTGGTTCTCTCTCTGGCAAACAGACTATTGCATTTGTATTGCTAACAACGTCTAACTCAGCTGATGGCTTTCCTTGCTTGGCAAGTACTCCGTTCACAGGTAATTGGGTGAGCAGGTGGGTGCAAGACCCAACTTCACTGTTTGGTAGAAAATACTTTTTAAATGTACCTTTAAAACATTGTAAAGTATTCAAGGGTGTAGTTCCTAAAATCTCAGGAGCCTATTGTTTCTGATTAAAAATTTGCTTAACGTTCTGAATTAGACAAATTTGATGTTTAGATATGAACAGAAGTTTAACTTTGAGTTTGCCATTGCTAAAGCTGACACCCATAGTTGTAAAGAACTATAGTCTTTTGAATTATGATAGAGCTTATGTAGAGACAGAGCCCCCATAACTTACCATGTTACTACCTGTTTCTTGATATAATTGCCCTGTGCCTGCCATGTGGCATCTGATGCCTGGATGCTGACACAGTGCAGCTTCTTAAATCTCAGACATGCAGATGAGAGGAGACCGCAGAATGACTGGTCGCTATGACACACACTGACCACCAGGGGGCAGACACTCAATGCAGGAGCTGCCCTCTGGTGGTCGGTGCGCTCCCACAGGGAGACCGCTGCTCAGCCAAAAGCCAGGCTCAAGGTTGATGAGCACAGTAGCGGTGGCAGGAGCCTCTCCTGCCTCCGCGGCAGTGCTAAGGATATCTGATTGCTGGCTTAGTCAGATATCCGCTCCCCCCAAGAGCTCCCGGACTGCGAAAGGGCACAGGCTGGGCTGAGGGGACCCCCCCCCCCCCGAGTGCACGAATTTCATGCATTGGGCCTCTAGTTATAACATAAGAGGGTAGCACTAGGGATAGAACTCATGTCTCTTAACTTTTCCTAATATGCCCAACTTTTTCCTCAAACCTGTTGTGATCATTTTCCAGACCATAGCAAGCAGGCATATATTTGTTAAATGGTTGCTTTTCTAACAAACTGGATTAGCACTGTGGGAAGCCCACTTCGTGATCCCGCCAGATCTGGGCTCTGTCCTAAATGCCCTAGACACAGCCATCATTGCTGCCCATGGAGGGCCAGGATCTGGGCATGGAGAAACAGCAAAGCAGTGAGGTCGAGAAGATGAGAAAATGGTGATCCCAGCTTGAGTGGGTCGGGAGTGAAGAGGAAACTAATTCAAAGGCAGCTTCCTGAGAGAGGTGGCAATGAAGCTGGGTCTTGAAAACTGCAAGCTGGCACTGTGAGATCTCCTGCCTCGTTGTCTGCCATACCCAGCTTTGCAGTTTGCCCCAGAGAAGCACACAGTAGGCTGTTTTGAGCTCTTTGCTCAGACTCTTACCTCTCCCTGAAATACTCATCTCACCTGTTTTCTTGTGGTTGAGTCTTACATATCCTTCATGCCAAACCTCAGTGTTCATCTCTTCCAGGAAACATTCTTTAAATCATTAGGTTGAGCTACTTACCTCTTGTGGCCCATCGTATGCATCTCACCCTTATGTTAACACTAGAGGCCTGGTGCACAAAATTTGTGAATGGTGGGTCCTCTCAGCCCAGCCTGCACCCTCTCCAATCTGGGACCCCTCAGGGGATGTCCGACTGCCTGATCCTCAGGATTGGGCCTAAACCGGCAGTCGGACATCCCTCTCACAACCCGGGACTGTTGGCTCCTAACTGCTCACCTGCCTGCCTGCCTGATTGCCCCTAACTGCCCC